GTGTACACTTCCAGCAACTCAGTAGCCCAGGCGTTTCAGCAGGTTTTTCATTTGGCATAATAGCATTTCCTAATACGCATGAGTGAGTGACGCCAAGCCTGTAAAACGCTCAAATGAATACCAAAGTGACAGTGTTGTAGTATTCGGTACCCGGTACTCTTACTCGAGTACTACTCGAGCACTATTATTCGTACTCGTACTCGAATGTCAAAGTACTCGTACTCGAATTTACGGTACTCATAATACGGCGCAAAGTACTCGTACTCGACATGTCAAAATTGTACTCGGTTATCAAGGTTCTCGTACACGAATAAAAAAAATCGCTCGTCAAAAATTGTCGGCGTGTGAAGAATTTGTTGCACTTCTGTGCACAAGTTGTATCTTGTTTGTGACAAAAATCTCAAATATGTCGTCTGTATCCACTGTCGTGCAGTTTAGACTGCTGTTGCATATTCATAAAAAACGATTCCAAATAATTGAAAAATGCTTACAAAGAACGATCCGTAGTTTCTGTCACAAATAAATAACAATACACATAATCTGCGGCTTCTTTTTAGCCAATATCTCAGCATATATTGCAGCTTATGTTGACGGATGGGTTTTTGATAAACAGTAATGATCAAAGTTGATTTTAAGCCATCATATTCAAAATAAAGTTTAATACTGTGATTGAAAAATATTGGCTGAATCAAATATTTGATAAACCGGCACTTTAGAATGTACATATCTTCATGCCAAAGACACACGTAGTTACTTCGTGAATGTCTTCTTCAGATACCTGACCCTCAAAACATGACTTTAGACACCTTACTTGTGTAGTTATGTGTAATATTGGCTAACCCCTTCTTCCCACTAAACTGTTATGTATTGTTGTGCAAATCCATCCCGGAGTGTTGTGCCATTGCTAAGCTCCTCTCCCGGTAAGGAAGCTGTGAGACAGGATTCGCCCCGTTTCGGAAAATGACCGACTTTTTTGAGAAGTCGTTTCCGATGACACTCGCAATTATGTTTAAAGTTCGATATTGCTCCGGTGCAGTTGCGCAACATGTATAAAATGTGTTTAGACATACCAAAACACACCCCCCCCCGTATAAATTTGGAATCCAGTGCATAAAAACTACCGTTTGCTAATTTTGATGTAAGTTTTTATGTCCAATAGTTTTTGTATTTTAAGCCCATTTAGGCATTGCACACTAAGTACGCACCAAGGGCAGAGCTCAGCTGCGTTGTGTTCTGCGGATACCTGACCCCCCAAAAAAAAAAGTCAGGGAGTACAGGCCAGACAATAAATGCCCACAGGCGCCAATGATGAATGCCGGCAATTTCAAAACAAATTGGGAAAACAACACTCACAACTCTAGCAGGTGAAACATTACATACTCAAATTAATGCTCGATTTTCACCCTCTTTCACTTTTGTGTACATTTTTTTGGGTGAGTTAATGATGACTTCTGGGTGTTTTTTTTTCACCCAAAGGTGATCACTCCTGAAAGCATTAATGACTCCTCCCTCGCTGTTTTAAAAAATGACCCCTCCACTCCATAGCAAAAATATAGAGAGTGACTTTCGAGCCCAATATTCATCAAAAATTCTCAGAGAGGCAAGTTGTTTTTCATATTGTTTAATTGTATATTGTTCTGCATTTGTTTTCATATCTCAAATACAAAATGGCGTATTTTTAGGCTCAATTCTGAGGCAATTTTGTCAGTGATTTTTGATTAACAGATGTAATAATGTAACCCTTTAAATCTGTTGATAAAATTAGACACAAATTGATTGGGTTTGTTTTCTGAATTTAATGATGTATTTCTTCCTGTGCGTTCATCTTTGCCGCATCCCAATAATTTTCACTCGCCAGCTGGGCTAGATAAGGAATAGTTTGACTAGCCCGCCGCTGTTTTGACTAGCATTTGGCTAGCGGGCTACCGCTTATTTCAGACCCTGTTTTTTGTATCTAAAGCGGCAATTTATTTTTAGTCTTTTCCTTTCATTTTTTGCTTTGTATTGGTCTGCGAATGGTCAGGCATGAGTAGTTGTTATTTCAGTGGAAGTCTGTAGTCATTCAAGCCTGCAGCAAATGCCACAGGCTGTACAGGTAACCTATTCACACTGAGAATAGTAAAGGTACAGGTGCGCTTCAATAAAAAAACAAATTGACAAAAAAAACCGACTTTGTATAAGACTTTCCACGCAACGGGTTCATAGCCCATGCAGTATTTCGCAGAGGGTTTTGTCAACGCGTTTTCATTTGATTGCAGCAGTAGGATGTTGCTAATGTTTGTTTATAATTAAATGTTGGGTTATTTCTTTCCCGTAATATATAATTTGACTTTTGTGATTGATAAATCCTGTGTTGAATCCTCTTTTCTCTTGAGTTATTTGTAGATTTTTGGTCTGAGTAGAGCGGGGCAAGGGTTAGCTCTGCGACACAGGGATATCACATTTTCCAACACTTATACCAACTTTGACAAGAGCAAGAAACCTAAAAAAATATTATACCCCATAGGAAACATAGAGTCTCAAAAATGATGATAAAATCAATGTCAAAGGACAAATTGTTCAAAGTACCCCAAAAAGCAATGCAGGACAAGACTTATGGCCAAATCAAAATCATGTAATTAGTGGCCATTTTGAATTCATGCAAATTAGGCATATTTCCACCACTTGGATTTCTTCCTTTTTTAAGGAACCGTATAGCAATGCACCATGGTGTGAAATTTATTGATGTACATGACTGAACTTGGATTATCAGGGAAAATGTAATTGTGACATGTCCACACATGACAGCCATAATTTTTACTTTAATCTATGTAAATTAATAAATAGCATTTGTACAAATTATTATCAGCATATCGCACATTTGGGAAACATAGGATATTGAAAGTTTCCAAGGTCTAGAATAATGAGTAAATCAACGTAAAAGAACTAAAATGGTTGTTTAAGATACCTCACAAAGTTATCTAGTATATGAAAAATGACCAAATCAGTGCGAAAGTCCTGAAATATGTGGCCATTTTGGATTTATGCAAATTAAGCATATTTCAACCACCTGAATTTTTAAGGACTTTTAGTATGTCATTTAAAGGACCCTATAGAAATGCACTGTGGTGAAAAAAAAAATTCTGTTGCAATTTGTTTGAGGTTCACTCAAAAATTGAAGTATTTTGCCTGGACTATTGGTGTTCTCCGAGAGAACGCTCAGTACTAGCGACGCGGAGCACTTCCCTCGTCGGTGTGTAATACCCACGAGCAGAAAACTGGAGCTCTCGGTCCAGATTCCTGTCCCATTTTTGGAAAGTCGCCCTCGCAAGGCCGCGTAGTTGGGCGTGTAAGATACCCTGTAATGATGACCAGTTACACTGTGAGTCTTAAAGAGGTAGTGGAATGCTGGAAGACATTTCCGGGTTCATTTTTCGGGCATATGTAGCCTAAAGTGTGATGAAATAAAACGACTATTGTGTCTGTCATGAAATGAGTACAAAAGGTACTTTTGAGAGCTGTTTTTCAGGTCTTGTTTCCACCCGAACGTGCAATTTGTGTAAAAGTCGTCGTTGGGGGCAGCAAACAAAACATAGTAAATCGTGACGTAATCAACAAGACTCCAGATGCAGCGTAGTATACACGAGATCGTATGAGTATCATCAACAAAACCAGCATGAACCTTGGTTTTGCCCTCGCTGTTCCCTTCTCTACACCCCCATGTCGCAGAGTTTCAAAAACGTCTCCAACGTTAGCTCTGATAATGCTGAGATGGAAAATGAAACAACTCAGATACGCACTTCTTCCCCAATAGATCAGAATATGCATTCAAAATCCAAAGCGAAACTCCCCAAATGCAGGAAACCGATTATTGCAATCATTCATTTCCAGAGCATCCGGAGAAAAATTGCTGAACTACATGCCTTAATTGACAGTCAATCTCCTGACATAATTCTTGGTTGCGAATCACGGTTAGACGAAAACATTTCGTCATCCGAAATTTTCCCCAGCCAATATCAAGTGACCAGGAAAGACAGAAACACCAGAGATGGTGGTGGTGTTTGTATTGCCATTAAAGACACTTTGCCACGTATAGAAAGACCAGATCTTGTTCACGAATCCAGTGAACAAATCTGGTGTCAGTTGCAGATGGGACCAGAAAGCATCTTTATAGGAAGCTACTACAGGAATCGATATCACCGTACATTATCGTGGGAGGGGATTTCAATATCCCAAACATGAAGTGGAACACTGACTCAATCGATTTTCATGGCCCTCTTCAGGACCAGATTATCATTTTCGCCGGTGACCACAGCATGGAGCAGACTGTGACCTTTCCGACATGAAGAAATGTGAATGGAACAGAAAACTTCCTTGATCTTTGTTTCTCAACATCACCGTCACATGTGATCAACGTGTATCCCTACACTTCCTTTGCAGACCACAACACTGTTATGGTTGAAATAGAGACACAAACTTCCATCCCTGTGAAACCACCAAGGACTGTTTATATTTGGAGCAAGCTAGTTGAATGAGCAAGGTTTTAAGAAGGATGCCCAACATTTCGCTGACAAATTTCTGGAGAGTAAATCGGAAAAAAGACTGTTAACGAAAACTGGTGCTCCCTCAAAAACACCATCACGAACCTTGTTAAGAAACATGTCCCTCGTAAGCAGGTCAAAGGCCAGCAACGCCCACCATGGTTCACACAGGGACATAAAAGACTCTGCAGGAAGAGAGAGCGCTACTACTTGAAAGCCATAAAACATGGCAGTCACCAACATTGGGACTAGTTTGAGAAAATCCGAACTGAAGTTGATAAAGAACTCCGTAAGGCAAACTGAGAGTGTGTGGCTGATCTATCATCTTCTAACAACCCCAAGACATTCTGGAACTACGTAAGACCTCGGCGAAAGGATCATGTTGGTATGCAGACCATTGTCGACGACGAAACCAAGGCCAATAAGCTTGCTGACCAGTTTCAAAGCTTTTTCTCATGTGAAGATCCAGTTCTCCCCTCAATGCCGCCAAGTCCTTACCCAGATATTCCAGACATGGAGATCACTGTTGACGGTGTAGAGAAACTACTCTCCTCCCTCAAAGTCAACAAGGCTGTTGGACCAGACGAGATACCAAATGCTGCCCTGAAAACTGCCTCAGTCCGATGGGCACCCGTCTTGCAGTTTATTTTCAGCCAAAGTTTAGACCAGAGTGAATTCCCAGAAGACTGGAAGATACCAAATATTTCGCCCATCTTCAAAAAAGATTCGAAATCCGACCCAGCTAACTACCGTCCTATCTCACTGACGTGTGTCTGTTGCAAACTTATGGAACACATCATTGATAGTCAAAAGAAGAGCCAAATCTCTAAAATAACTGTGAATCTATCTGGGCAAGCATCCACATCAAAGGAAGTCAAGCTGTCTATTAATAGGTGTCTTTTATAGATCTGATACAGGATGCAAGACTACTGACCAGGAATGTATCAATCAGCTGGAGCAAATTCTTCTCAAGCTTCCAAAGAACACTCTTATTTGGCTTGCTGGGGATTTTAACCTCCCTGACGTAGACTGGGACAGAAATAGCTTTATAAGTGGTGGCAGGTATCCAGCAGTAAGCAAACAGTTGCTAGATCTGGCTCTAGAGTACAACCTACAATAGGTGGTAACAGACCCAACTAGGGATGGTAATGTTTTGGATCTGCTTTTTACGAACATACCGTCTTTCGTTCAAAACACACATATTCTCCCAGGACTTAGTGACCACGACATTGTCCCTGTTGATGTGTTACTGACTCCGCAGAGAATTCATACTCCCCGCAGGAAAGTCTACTTATACAAAAAGGGCAACTTTGAACTCATCAATGAAGATATCAATAAGTTTGCAGAGACAGTTACACCAGATGTCATAAAACACTCTACTGTAGACCATCTTTGGACAAATTAAAAAAAAAACTGAAATAATCTCCTCAGAGTTGAAAAACACATACCGAGCAGGCTGTCCAAGAGTAGTACTCAACTTCCATGAGTTAATCGCTCACACTTAAAGATGATTCGCCGTGAACAGCGTTTGTATAACAAAGCTAAACGCTCAAATACAATCAAGGACTGGGATGATTTCAAAAACTTTCGTCGTATCACTGACCGCACCATCAGAAAAGCAAGATCTGAGTACTTGTTTGAAGTTCGAGAAAGTCTAAAAACTGGGGACACAAAACCGTTCTGGAGGTTCATCAAAAACACCCGCCAGAATTTGTCAGGTGTTGAGGTATTGAATACTGCAAAAGGATTTGTTACATCAGCTGTCGAGAAAGCCAATGCTTTAAATGAACAATTTCAATCTGTATTCACGGAAGAAGATCGCAACAGTGTTCCGAAAATAGCATCCGAGTTTCCAGACATGCCACCTATTCACATATCTACTCATGGCGTGGAGAAGCTCCTTAAGGAATTAAACGTTCAGAAAGCACCAGGACCAGATGGGATAACTCCAAGGTTACTCAAAGAATGTGCCAGCAGTATTGCTCCTCTCCTGACTATTTTATACCAGAAGTCCATTTGTACAGGTGAACTTCCGGCTGATTGGCTGAGGGAGAATGTCACTCCTTTGTTCAAAAAAAGGAAATCACTCAGAGCCAGTGAATTATCGTCCAGTCTCACTAACATCCATACCTTGTAAATTACTGGAACACATCATCCATTCAAACAAAATGTATCATCTGGAAAAACATGGATACCTGAATGATCAGCAGCACGGATTCCGCAAGAACCGGTCATGCGAATCTCAACTTGCATTGACCATTGATGACCTTACTAAGATCCTCAACACAAAGCAACAAAGGCCAAGTAGATGTAATTATTATGGACTTTAGCAAGGCCTTCGACTGCGTTCCGCACGAAAGACTCTTAGCTAAGCTTAGCCATTCCGGAATAAATGGTTCACTCCATACTCGGATTGGGACATTTCTTACCCAGAGATCTCAACAAGTTGTCATACAGGGTGAAACTTCATCTTCCGTTCATGTAACATCTGGTGTCCCACAAGGTACGGTCTTAGGCCTATTACTATTTCTGCCGTACGTGAATGACATCTCAAATGGAATTACATCGAAAGTACGGCTATTTGCAGACGACTGTATCCTTTACAGAGAGATAGACAACATCAACGATAGCCAGGATCTTCAAAATGATATTGACCACCTCTGCACATGGGAACAACGATGGCAAATGAAGTTCAACAAGTCTAAATGTTACACCATGCAAACTACTCACAAAGAGAAGCCAATTCTAGCAGATTACAAGCTGGGGACGTGACACTACAAGTAACCAACCACACTTAGAGTCGAAATCAACAACAAATTAAGCTGGGCAACTCATATTCAAAGTATCACCGCAAAAGTTAACCTAATCCTGGACTGCTACGTAGAAATCTGTACAGCTGTTCTTCTGAAGTAAAAGCGAGGGCTTATAAAACGCTAGTCAGACCTCGTCTAGAGTACTGCTCATCAGTCTGGGATCCCCATCATAAGGAACATAGATTACAGCTGGAAGGGGTTTAACGACGATCTGCCAGATTTGTCCTCAACAACAACACAAAGAGGGAGACCGTCTCCAAAATGCTGTCCCAACTGGAATGGGAGCCCTTGGAACATCGTAGAGCTGCCCAGAGATTGACCCTCCTCTACAAATCTGTCAACAAAATCGTTGCCAGCAATACGGACTCATACCAGGCCAAACCTAACCATTCTACAACACAACAGGCAGCAATCTCTTTCATCAAACCATCCGCACATAAAGATTGCTACAAGTTCTCATTATTCCCATTTTTGCAGAATGAAATAAATTACCACCGGAAATACGTCAAGCACCAAGCAGCAATTTTCAAGTCAAAACTTCAATCTCTTAACATACTATAATGTTATTATGTCATTGTCGCGAAATTGCATGTACATGATCAGTACTTTTGCGCAAATCTTGTTCAGGCCTGTTTCCTAATCCCAGACTGCGGGGGGGGGGGTCTTTAAATCCTATATAGTGGAATTATTTACATGCGAGCGCGAAGTCCTGAAGGCGTGGGGTCCGGGGACGCTCCGGGAAATGTTTGGATTGCAGATGCTGTGTGGCGCAAATATCAAAATTGTAGCTTGACTCTCTATCTAAAAATGGCCTCGTTATTTTGAGTCGTCACGAATAAGAATCAGCTCAATTCGTAACTGCCTGCGAGCGACAGAGCACGTGCTTGTGTTTTGCACAGCTGTAGCTGTCAACGCCCGTATGTGAAGCGACTTCGCGCGGCAGCTTGTGCCGAATGTACAATCTTTTGCCATGGGTTGCAGAACCTGATTTTAGCTTCGCGGAGTTTTGATCAGCGGTGTTTATTATTTACATTCTCCACTTTGTTCTTATTCGCTCTTTCTTTCCCCTTCCTTCTCCATTCTTCGGAAAACAGGTGCCTAGTGCCTACGAAACACTTAATCCGGGCTTGATTCCAAGCAAGCCAATGATTCGCCTTATGCTGCAGATCATCTTATTATTAAATATTATTTTTTACTACATATCGGGGAAAACAAGAACATTTATGTTGAATTCTGATAAGTGATAACAACATTACCATGCTAACGCCGAGCACATTTCTATCTTTAACTTTAAAATGAGCTATTAAATGTCGCATTTGTTTCGGGACCACATCTCTCTAAACATTTTGATGAAAGCCTAATTAAAAACGAGATTTTGGGTTAACGGTGTTCTCCTCGAATAAGGTGTCACATTTGACGTTTATCTCCCGGGTAAACAATTAATCTTTGAAGACAAAAACTGCACAATTCCATTTGTTATATCCCGAAGTTAAATTTTTGAACAATTTTGGAACAAGTATATCTTACATAAGGGACGGTTTTGCTTAAAGTTTTATGATTTTCCCAATTTACATGTTATACGAGTAACCGACAACATAGAGCATTCGCGATTAACATGCCAACCGGTAGTAAGGCCTGTTATCACTCATCCAACCAATGCATTTTGTACTAGAGCTCAAATGGCATTCGTTCGTGGGGCCGTAAACGCGATGTCCACGAAATAATAATAGATGGAAAGATAACTAAAAAGTAAAAACGATTAAACGTCGGCACAGATAAATTATATTTGACGTGAAGGTAAACGGTGGGGTAAAATAATGTTGTCGGTCCCCGTCGAAACGTTGGAGCGCTATAGTTTTTATTCAATGAAAACACGTTTTTTTTCAGTGAGGTTTCTTCAAACACAGGTGTAACAATTATTGTGGGACTTGGTTCCTAACAGCGTGTTGTCACTTACATTTTTTGCATGACAAAGCTGCCCCAGTTTGATATTGACAACTTTTGTTTATAGTTTCATGACTTTATTGCTGGAAAAACGCACAGTTGATGTAAACAAACCAGTAAAAATAGTTTTCCCCGCACATGAGAGACAAAGACTGGATTCCTTGCGATCCAGACCTTTGAAAATCATTTATTATTAATTAAAAATAATATAAAAAACACCCACATTAACTTTAATACCTTCTTGTTGACACACGTTAGTCAGCGGGAGACAGATTATATTACAGTAATTGGACATTCGCTGGGGCTGGGATAATCAAACTCAGCGCGCAATTATTAAAAAAAGGCTTTCACCCATCGGCCTTCCTGTGAACTCGAGCTCGAGGACGTTATTCGCATGACGAGGCGGCCCCAGTCAGATGTTGACAGCTTTGGTTCATAATTACACGGCTTTGTTAACGGTTGGAAATACGCCTAGGCGATGTAAAGTAACATTTTTTTTTTCATTATGAACCCTTTCCCGTTAATTATGTCAGACACTGATTGGGTTCCTGGTGATCCAGACATTCTAAGTATTATTAATTAATAATTCAAAAAAAAAGAAGCTAAGACGATCTTAGCTTGAGCTTTAATTGACCTATCGCCGTTTGCGAGTTTTCCACGCCCCTTGGACAACCCTTTGGAATGCTGAACCTAAAGTTTTCTTCGTCTCAGATTTTGCGCGTTCCGCGTCCATTTGTAGATCATGTAATTGGACAATATTTATAGGTGCTGCGCTGACGCGAGTCTATCGCGATATTTTAACCCCCTAAGGCTGACACACGTTTCAGTCAGTACAAAACAGATTGCATTCAAAGTAATCGTAAAAATTCGCTCGAGTAGTGAAGCTTAACCCACCATTGTTAGGAATACTACA